TATTTTTATTGTGTAGGTCACATATGATGTCCCTAACACCACTTTGTTGAGGACAAAGTGGATCTCATATGTCTGGGAACGCTGGAGAGGTTTTAAGAGTGATCCGACTAGTCGATACATATATGGGGCATTGAGCAACAAGAACCCATGTGACCAGTATCGAGTTTTGGATGAGGAGACATGGCAGGCATTTCGGACTCGGCGTTTAGACGCTAAGTTTCGAGGTTAGCACATTTGTCATTTGTTTGCAGTCATTTTTTTTAAATAGAGGTTTTAAATCTGGTATTTAACATGGAATGCAACAGAGCCAAGCGACAGAAGGCACGGGATATTCGGAGAAAGAATATCCACCCCACAGGTTGTCTCGTGGGGGTTATGAGAAATTGGAGGAGAAGATGATGAAGGAGACATCTTCAAGTCATCCTTCAGATGAGTCGGTTGTGAGTGTTGTCACTCGCCCTTCACGCCATGATAAATGGAAGAGAGCTCGCCAGAACTCATCAGGGAATTACTTATCTGAGCAAACTAATGTTGTAGCTCAACATATTGTAAGTAGCATATCTTAAACTAATTATATGTTATACTACAATAAGCATATGTATTTGCTAAAAAATCCTTCATTTGTGTTGTAGGATGAGTTGGTTGAGCAGAGCACTCAGGGATCATTCCACCCACATGGCCGTCAGGATATATTGGCAGTGGTCATTGGTACCTCAGAGCATCCTCGACGTGTTCGTGCTGCTGGACGAGGGGTGGGCATCAGACAGTACTTTGGTGCCCCACCCGTGGCAACTCCTACTTTGAGGCATCTGAATGAGTTGGAGTTTGAGTCCCTCAAACAACAAATTAGGAAGGAGATTCGAGATGAGGTGTACTCTGACTTGAAGGCAGAGTTATTGAGCTCAATGCGAGCAGAGTTGACATCTTTGTCCTCTCAACCTTCTGTCCCCGCATGAGAGGCATCCCCGATTCATGTCAGCACAAAGGAGAGTTATGATGCTCCCGATAGAGGGGCGAGGTTGCTCCTACCGACACTCGCTGACCGTGAGTTGTATGTTGCGGGTCCTCCCGAGCATTTGGTGGCATACGGTACGTATTATATCTTTGACATGTATTTGGTACACTCGTTAAGCATTATATAGTCTAAAATATTTTATCATTTGTTTACCTTAGGGAAAATGTATGCATTGGGGTCAACCATCCACCACCGGAGTATTGGACATGATATGATAAGAGTGGTGGTTATAGATGTCCGGGATGCTGCCGCCTCAATCCCTATTCCCACTGAAGAGGTTCAAACAAGTGGGACGGGCACCTGGAAATTTTATCTTATGGCCAGTTTCATTAACAAGACCCATCCCAACACATTCATAGGTTAGTGTCATGCATTTATCCCTTTTACTTATTATTTTTTGATAGGTTGATGTATATTAATGTTATTTATTTTTGGTACTTGTATAGAAAGAGGCTAAAAAAGCAAAGGAAGTTGTGCATGAATCACCACCACCACCGATCGCTTTACAGCTGACTCGGTGCACTAGCAGACGACTATCTGGACCACTCCCATACAGCTAGATATGCCACCCGAAGTCGTATGCAGGACCCAGACGATCCCTTTTTCTTACTCCAAAGGGATATTTTTGATCTTCTCACTGGTACTCGATATGTTATGTGTATTAGTGTTGCAGCTTTGGGAATTGTAAGTATATTTACATATTTTTTATATTCTCACTTGGTACATTATTTTATAACTTTATTTATTTTCAATGTTGAAGGTATTTACATCGTTTGTGTGTTGAGAGGAAGATTGCCTTTATCTATGGATTTGTTGACCTCGTTGCCATTCAGTCCATTGGGAATAAAGTCGAAGAGGTGCAAACGTACTTAATAGAGACATTTCAAAATGGGGGCAAAGAAGTCTACTTAGCACCTTACTTGCATCAGTAAGTATACATCTTATAAATTAATGCACATTTATGTAAAATTGAAATTTTACTAATATTATTTTAACGTGCAGGGGTCATTGGCAGCTCATAATCATTGTTCCTCGGCAATTTGTTGTGATTCTCTTGTGTTCATTACACAAGAAACCAAATGATTTGGATATTATAAAACACATAGACGCGTAAGTTTGGTTTTTTTAATTGATTTTTTAATTGTTGTATCATATGTGCACTTACACCAAAATTATTTGTCCTTTTGTAGAGCTTTGGAAGCTCCCCTAAGGTTGCAAGGTCTTCCATCTCATGCTAGAAAGAAGTTGACGTATATTGCACCAAAGGTGACCAAACACCTCTTACTATTGTTCAATTTGTCATTTAAAGTTAATCTGACATGTATTTAACTTGTAGTGTCCACGCCAATCGGGAAGCCATGAGTGCGGGTATTATGTGATGAAGCACATGCACACCATCGTAGCCAAAAATATTATTGGCTCATGGAGGGAGGTAAATATACTATAATTAAGTCAAATATGCCAATTATGTAAATGATTTCTAAATCTGAAATGTTTCAATATGTAGGAATTTACAAACTCATCTCCAATGAAGATTGAAGTGTTAGACGACATTAGAGAGCAGTGGGCTTCTTTCCTTTTAAGTATTCAATCTTCATAGCAAATTTGACTTGTAACAATTTTGATTGAATTGATTTAAGTTAGCAAATTTACATTCGTTTAAGTAAATGAACTGTTTGGAACTGAGGTACATATATTGATTTCAATATGTTTCATATGTACATATCTGTCTGGAACTATATATGAACTGTGCATATCTGTTTGTACAAGTGTTTGGATCTGTGAATATTTGTCTGGAACTGTGATGAATAGGCAGGTCTACTCGAAGAAAGGTAGCATCTGTGAAGAAAATGCAGATACTGTAAAAAAAATAACATTTTTTACGTCGGTTATGTCAATACCCGACTTTCTACGTCGGGTATTGACATAACCGACGTAGAAAGTTTAACATTTTATGTCGGTTATAGGCATAACCGATATTGATAACACATACAATCACGGTTACTCGTTAACCGATATAGATATTGGGGTTATAGAAAGTTAGAAAGTAAGACTTTCTATGTCGGTTATCGGTGTTAACCGACATAGAAAGTAAGACTTTCTATGTCGGTTATCATTGTTAACCGACATAGAAAGTAATATGACAGTCGAAATCGGTTATGATCGATCGAATAGCTCTATGACCGATCGTAACCAGTTATGACCGATCAGTATAGGTCATAGAAAGTCAGTCTTTCTACGTCGATTCCCTAACTAACCGACATAGAAAGTCTTACTTTCTACGTCAGTTATTAGGAACCGACGTAGAAAGACTTACTTTCTATGACCCCCGTATCTATGTCGCCGCTTTAACCGACGTAGAAAGCCCATTTTAACTGACGTAAAAAGCCTTTTCTGCAGTAGTGATTTATTTTTTGAAAGTTTTTGGAAGTATTATTGAATCAATTTTAGAAAATATTTATAGAAAGTTAATTCAAGAATATTTTTGGAAAACTTTTTGAAAAATCAATCTAAAAATAAATATATAGATTAAATAATTAATTACTTTAATTAATAATATAATACCTTATTTTAACATAAAAACAATATAAAAAATACATAATATTTAAATAAATATAATAAAAATCAAATAATACTAAAAAATATAATACATTAAATTAAATTTCATTATTTTCTCCTCTAAACTTTTGTCAAATATGTTCTACCAAATCTGCTTGAAGTTGGTGGTGAGTATTTCTATCTTGAACCATGCTATTTTTTGAAAATATGTAGATCTAGAACTAGGATGAAGACTTAAAGATATATCAATGGTTAACATCTCATTTTCCCTAATATCATAATCAATATGATTTTGATAAGTATGTCGTTCGTCCTCAACAATCATATATATGCATAAGTTATGTTTTTCAATGTATAAGCATCCCAAAAACGTGTTGGGTCACGTATAATTGCAAATCGAGATTGAAGGACTCCAAATACACGTTCAACATCATTTCTTTGTGACTTTTGTCATTGAGCAAATAATTTTCTCTTTTGTCCTTGTGACATTGAAATAGTTTTTACAAATGTGGAAAATCTGAATAAATATCATCTGTTAAGTAATATCTCATATCATATTGGGTTTCATTCATAGTGTAGTGTACCGCAGATGCAAAACTTGACATAACTTTATTAAACACATTAGATGCATTTAACACACAGTAATATCATTATTTGACCCTACAATACCAAAAATGCATGTCAAATGCACAAGTCTTGTGATGCAGCTTCGAGAATGAACTACCTTTCTTCTTTGCATGTCATCACCATTGTCGTTGACTTGTTTTACAATGGCTAGTTTTACAATGAATAGTTTTACAATGAATAGTTTTCATTTGTGTTAATGACTGATCAACTCTAACAATTGAATCCTTCGACACATTCAACAATTGAGAATGGTACACGAAGTTTCCTCTAAGACATATTTTCACTGCTTCCATCAAGTTGGATATTATTGAGTCCGATCGGGGAAGGAGGTTCTATGTTGGATGAAGGAGGAATATTACTCATATTTGATGTCATTGAAGGTGGTGGAAACATAAAAAATGATGGTGGATAAATATAATTTTGAGAATTTTCACCGGTAAGAGATGAATGATTTTGTAATAAATTATAATAATACTAATAATTAAATTGATTGGGGTCCATAATTGGAGAAGAAGAAAAATGAGGAAATGAAGGAAATGTGAAATTTTTATACCATTGATGGAGATTTTATAGTGTCAAAATAAGTTTCAACGAACAACTACTTTGTGTTGTGAGTGACGAATGACTACTTTTTTTAGTAACGATACAATTTATAACGGTTCAATTTTCTTCTCAACATGTACTCTGCTCCCTCAAGTCTTCTTTCTCCATCTTCATTCTCCATTTTCTCTTTTTAGTCTCACCCCTCTTCCTCCCCTCACCTCTCATTCTCCATATCTCCTCTCTCAAATTTGCCTCTATGTTCGCTGCCTCTACGACCCGCTGTCTTCGCATTCTCTATAACTGGATTCAAGATGATGACAACTTCATTTGCAGGCTTATTGTCAATAGAGGTTATCTTCGAAGATCAAGGGGCAACCGCCTGGTGCCCTATTCGGAGTGTATCTGTATGAAGGAATATATGAGATGAATATTTTCAATTTGTAGAGAATTCCAGAGATATAGGAGCTTCAATTTGTGTGGCTCTCTTGTCTTCGTTTCACTTTACAGATTCTTTGTCCATTGATGAGTTTTTATACTTTTGATTAGAAGTTAAATAAAAATAAATTACTTATTATTTAACATCAAGGAGTTTATTTTGTTGATTGAGTTCCTTCATATACATTCAAACATTTTTTTTTAGGTTGTGAACGAGAGAGGTTGAAGTGAAGATGAAGTTGGGTAAATTAGGAGGTTAGTAATGGTTGCTAAGAAAAATTGTAATAGGCTAGTTGATGATGGCTTATTCATTATGGTTCCTATGTTTGATGATTTTCCTACTGGGTTTGAATTTGATTTTTTGTGTCTGTTGAAAAAGATGCAAATAATAATATTTTATTTGAAGCATTAGTTGCTTCTCCAAACATTTTTTTATTGAGATGGAGCAATTTTATATGCCACTTCCTCCAATAGAATAGTTGTTTTAATGTCATACATGTGAGAATGTTTTGTGAGGATATTTTGTCGAGTTCCCCTTCTGTTGACCAATACTCACTATAATTGTCACTTTTTTACACATTATGATAGTGTTATGGTCAAAACAATTTGAGAAAAATAATGAATAAAATATGTAGGAGTTAAGAATAGAAATACCTAAAAAAGGAGAAGTCCATAAAATAAGAAAAATATCTAAAAAAAGGAAGAAGCAAAGATTACATGTATTTTAAAATTTAGATGGTTAATGAAATTATTACACTTTATATCTACTAGCTAATCTTCTATACTTTATTTACTTTTGTATCATATTGATTTTATTTTTTATTTGCAAATTTACTTTAAAAGCTTTATTTATTTCTTCGCTTTTTAATTTGTCTTTTTTAAATGCTACATTTACGATTCTGAATTTAAATATTTTATGTCTTTTTACACTCATTATTTTTTGTTTAAATATTTCTTATAAGAAAGACAGAGTCGTAAATCCCTAACAAATAGGTTTATGATTATAAAAATATAATATAAGTGTTAATATAATAGGTTCAAACCTACATTTTTACATTGTTTTTAAGTTTTAAAGTAATATTTAAATATATTTTAAACATACAACAAATTAAAAACTAAGTAAATTATTAGTCATTAAAAATAATGAATACTATTTATTTTATGAATAAGTAAATTTCTCTTGTTAAAAGTAAGGTTTAGTGTGTATTATATTATGTATTACAATATTATTTTTTTAATATCGATATTTATTTATAATGGTATTTATTAGGATGTAATATTTATGATTATAATTTGAATTTTAATATAATTTAACTTAGATAAATTATTTATATATTTAACATGATCAAGTATTAAATACAAGGTTAGTCATTAATAACCAATTATAATCACAATTAGCAAACCAATTTCATATTAGATAAACAACCAAACACATTTTAACTTCTAAAATAGATCATACAAAATATTGAATTATTCATCCACATCATATCCATACAAGACATATTATAAAGAAACAAATTATTCATACAAAGTGTTCACTTGTCCATGGTAGTCATAAAAAATATCTAAAGTATAGTTGTCATACAAAATATGTAAAGTTGTTTCTATAAAAAATATAGTTCATGCATATATTTACTCCTTCTCGAGTATCATCCCATCCATAGCTGATTTGAAAGGATCCAACTAGACCGCATTCAACCTTGAGGTAATAACCTTTATCTACACCAGGGCCCCAAAAATCCAAATCTAAATACATTTGTGTTGGTAATTTCATTCGTTGTTGCGTCCAAAATCCTTTCTAGATCAATATTTTTTTTTTCAACCTCTTCCCTGTTTATTACACGCCCTATGCATTTCTCCTTTAGTTAGACCTCTAACCTTCCACCTCCGCCACCTTCACTTCTAACACATATAGTTGACCTTTTAGTCCACCAACTTCTATACACTTATGCTAAAGTTTTTCAACCTCAAACCTCAACTTGGCTATCTCTTTTGCTAATTGTGTCAGTCAATGTCGCATCTCATTAATAACAATAAGATTCATTGTCTTATTCGAGCAACTATACAAACCTCTACTTACATTTATCCCATGAGAGTTTCTCGAACACTTGAAGATCACCATTGAGTAAATTGTGAGTTTGATTATGTCTTGAATGCAGAAAGAGTCCCAAAATGACTTGCCTTCTTCATATTGATTTTCCTTATCAATCGATTCCCAATTTTCCCCGACCACCACATTGGGAGTCTCGTAGTCCGTCCAACTCTGAGTATTTCAAGTCTTGACCTTTATTTGACTCCCTAAAATTGGATCATCCCTTGTCGACATAATTTTTATGTGTTTTGTCGTCCTCAATTGTACATAAATTTGAGATCGTTTTGACTCTTTAGGTCACAATCACGACATTATCTATGGTGCAACGCTTGATTCTACCATTGCTTTATCATCTTTTATAACTAACTTCTTCATTTGTTGAGTCATCTCTTTCTTGGGAATTGACATCTATTTTCCTGTATTTCATAAATAATTACATATTAGATACATAAGAAAATTACCCTATATTAGACAAATACAAATTCATGTACTTATATAAAGTTTCAAATCTATGGACCCATACTTTAAGTTAAACAACATGTCCATATGAAATAATGTTTTCAATTACTCACAACATTTTGATTATCTAACATTCTCAATTACTCTAACAACATGTTACTATTAGTCTTTTCATCTTTGGTTATATATTACAGGATGTGTAGTACTCTTTACTTAATTAGGTTTGTTTTGTATAAATATTTTAATTTACACTTTTAGGTCATCAAATAACTGATAAAGAATATAACTTGTTTAAAATTAATAGTTTAATTAGTTTAATTTATTTAATGAAGTGTAGCTAGTGTAACTCATTTAGTAAGTTAATTTGTTTGATACGTGTAATTATAACATGTATAGTGTCATTAGTTAGTATGATGGATTATCTAATACCAATGTTTATTTGATGGTGACATCTCCTCTCATTATTTAATAATTATTAAAATTTCACTCTTTTATGTTTTTGCAAAATATTTTATTATTTGTGAAACATTTTTGAAAAATTTCTCTTAATATAAAGCAACTTCTTTTTAATAAAATGTATCATCAAATCATACAATTGGCTTGTAATTTATTTAAAAAAATGTTTTTGTTATATTCATAACTTATTTTTAAAGTTAACAAATAATTTTAATTTCCTCCTTAAGATTATAATTATGATTATATTGGTATATAATACAGTACATGTTCCATTCAACCCTTATCATTTTTTTTTAATTTATGAAAATGATACGATGATTTCAAAATCATACTGCAACAAATATAATAGAAATAGAATTTTTCTATATTTTAGAAAATATTAATCAGAATTTTTTCCTATTACATAATCCAAGATTTTACAAAAGGTTTATAAATTATAACGTGCGTCAGTGTTGTAATTTTTAAATTTAAATTTTCATTTCATAGTTATTTTATTTTATACGCATTTTATTTTGTAGATTTATTTTATTTTCAACTAATTCATTATCGTATATAAATTTATGTGTGCTTGTTACATTTTGAATATAATTATCCATACCAAATTTACTGCGATTATGTTATTTGTTATTAAAAAACACTTTTTAATTCAAACTATGATACATTGAAATATATATATATATATATATATATATATATATATATATATATATATATATATATATAATGACTACTTTAGTTTTCTAAAATCAGTGGAATTTTTAATTTAATCATAAAATTTAAATAATTAAAATAAATCCTTAAAAATAAGTATAATATTTTATATATATTTTTATTTTAAGTAGATTTTTATATATTATTACAATTTAACCTCTTTATATTAAAATAAAATACAATTTAATATATATATATATATATATATATATAAACTAAATTACATTTTAATAATAATAATATATAAGAACATGTTTAAAACAAGAAATGAACATAAAATATAAAATTACATTAAAAAATTATTTATTTATTTACTAAATTCATATGGTTAATTAAAAAAAAGTACGTTTTAAATGAAAAAAAATAATCATTTAAGCCTAAATTAAAACACAATGTTTGTTATTATAATATATTAAATGTTAACCGTTTATGAAAAAAAAGAGAGTTACTATTACACTAATTTATCATTAGTGGATGTCATCGTATAAATATACATATATGTATATATATATATATATATATATATATATATATATATATATATATATATATATATAGATGAAATTGTGAAACGTAAAACCTAATTAGGGTTCTGAGACCGAGAATAGTGGATTGCTCGAAGTGTTCAGCTACGTTCCTCTCTCTGTCGTTAGGGTTTCGAGTGGTCTTGTTCTCTCTAACAAGTAGGTATATTCAAAATCTTCGGTTTGAGACATCCACCTTATATGCCTCTTCTTCTGCCCCCTCTTATTCTGCATCGGGGCGCACTGGTAGCGTTTTCGACATTTTAATCTACTAATCTATTCTTTTTGTTGCAGTTAAATTATGGCCTTATTTGATGAAGAAACAATTTTCTTTCAATTTTTAAAAAAATTATTTAAATATCAATTTAATTGATGTTTGAGGTGTAGTTGATGATTAATCTTGCATTTTAGCTAACATTTTATTTTACAATTCGGACTCCATTACCCCCATCCCTGGATAGTTACTCTGTTTTTAATCTTCCACGAAATTCTTTTCGTACAAATTTTGCTCCAATAATTCTTTGTGCATTTTGGTCACACTTAAGGTGATAGAAGACCTTGTCGAATTTGAAAGCAATTTCAATTTGGCTGTATTAATACTTCGTTGTGATAAGTAATAGATTTGTAAGTGGGCTTGTGCAGGTGTGATATTTATTGCTTGAATTTAACCTGTTTCTTTACGAGAAGGGTAATAAGGGAGGGATGATCGTCAGAGACTAACAAATGAATGTATATGATGCACTGATTATTTATGTATTCAACTAAAATTTTGCTTTGTTTTCAGGTGTTTTGTGATATTCTGTAAAATGGGTGAGACTGGAAAACGATTTCATTCACAGAGAGACTATGATGGGGACAGGAAAAATCAAAAGAGACGAATGAATGACAGAGATGAAAGGGGTAATGATGAATTGATTGTTTATAGGATACTTTGCCCCGATGAAGTTATTGGAAGTGTTATTGGGAAGAACGGTAAAGTGATAAATTCAATAAGGCAAGAAACCAGAGCAAAAGTTAAGGTTGTGGATCCATTTCCTGGCGCCAAGGACCGTGTTATAACGATCTATTGCTATGTTAAGGAGAAGGAAGAAGTTGAGATTGATGATGAGTTCACTGGAAAAGAACCTTTATGTGCTGCTCAAGATGCTCTTCTCGAGGTTCATGCTGCCATTGTGAATTCCATCACAGCTCTTGGAGATTCTGAGAAGAAAAGGAAGGATAGAGATGAATGTCAAATCCTTGTTCCATCAAGCCAAGCTGCAAATATCATTGGTAAGGCTGGGGCTACCATTAAAAAGCTGAGAAGTAAAACACGAGCAAATATCAAGGTTACTGCCAAGGATGCAGCAGACCCAGCACACTCATGTGCTATGGATTTTGATAATTTTGTCTCGGTTAGTATATTCAACTCATAAGATCAATATGCTGATTAGAATGCTGACATCTAATCCTCCACCCACTAGCACATGCCAATACTAATATTTTATTTCACTAATAATCTAATGGTTGGGATATAAGTCTTTTTACAGAATGTCATTCTAAATTGTAATATTTAACACTATAATATTTCTGATTGTATGTCAACAAACTATGCATTTTGATTATTTCACACCAGTGTGCATCTTGATATGTCATTTGTAGTTTGCAATGTAATATGAATTTCTAGCACTTGTATAATTATGCGACCACCATTTTTCATGGTTTCCTAATAGCAAGACTAGTGACAAGATAACTGTGTTAGTAAACACTAAATAACAAATTTACAATACATTTTTTGAAGTGTTTTTCTTGGTTTTTAGGAACTTTCATTTGTTATACCAGATTCCATCCTGAATACTTGTTAGAATATAATGTCTGCTTGTTGTTAAAAGATATCCTTTGTCTGAAAGAGTAGGAGTATTCTATGACTGTTAAGATTGTGATCTGTATGTAAAATTGAAACCCAAAACAGTTGTATTAAACAGGGAAGATTAAAGCTTGCAGCTCTTTGTTGTTCCTAAAAACTTCTACTCTCTGGACAGTCAGCATAGTTATCAATAGTGTCAAATAGCACTGCTATGATGCCATAGTGGAGTGTCTCATCAATAGTGGCCAAAATTGCAGTGACACATAAATGCAGCAATTTTATTGACCAAATTGTGGAGTATAATACTGTTTTCCCTGTTCTCTCACCTTTGCACTTCGATACACTACCCAACCCTGATAGCCCATACATATCCTGGCCAATCTTACATAATTTTTTGCCTGATCCACTGCTTTTCCAGCCAAGCGCATTCATTTTTTGACCAAGCTCACCATTTTGCAGCTTCTTTTGCAAAACCTTTCTTTCTCTATTTCTTTTTTTTTGTGCTATTTTTCTTGTCATCTTTTTATCTTCTATTGTAGATTATGTCATTTTTCTAATATATTCTTTTGGTGTCTTGTCTCGCTAGTTAAAATCTAACATTGTGCCATCATGTGTGTATTACATTGCTGGCTAGTTCTTGTGCTTTTTTATACTAGTCAAGAATCAAATGATAGAAAATAACAAATAAACTAAAATTCAACTTTGTGTATTGGTCCATGTTAAACAATAATTTGTGAATAAATCTTAAGTTATTGATGAAAAATTTATGACAAATATTGCAATGACCTCTGACATTGAAGGATAAACCCTGTAACAAGGGCTTTTTCCTAAGGTATATGCCCTAATCATTAAAAATGAGAAAATAATGAAACCAAGGTTTCCTGTAATTTAAGAAGAATCGAATCTGTATTCTGTATATACACTACCGTTGAAGAGCTTCATCATATCTGTATTCTGGTATGTATTATGGTATGTATTAATATATGGTGTAAATTCAATCATTACTTTTGGTGGCTAATAGATTCCCCTCTTTGGTGGGCCATCATAAAAAGCCACCAGTCTATAGAGTGGTAGAATGAACACATATTTTGAGGCTTGAGTCCTTGATTTTACTTAATAATTGTATATTATAATTAATTGATCATATCAATTTGAATGTGAATTACATATATTTTTCATCTAGTTTGTTAGAAAAATCTGATATTACTCATGACTTTTTTTTTTCTCATTCCTCGAAACAAGTTATTTTGTGGTAAACATACACCTTATTGTATTGTTGCTTTCTGTGTGAGTAGATCACTGGTGAATCAGAAGCAGTTAAAAGAGCACTATTTGCAATTTCCTCTATTATGTACAAGTTTGGTCCAAAGGAGGACATCTCTCTTGACACAACTGTACGAGAAGCCCCACCTAGTATTATTATTCCCTCTGATGTTTCAATTTATCCTCCTGGTGGACTATATCCAGCTTCAGATCCTATTGTCACACCTAGAGCAGTTCCTCCAATTATAGGTGCAACTAATGTACAAGATCTTCAAGGTTATGCTGATGCCGGAAATACATGGCCTCTATACTCATCTGCCCTTCCAGTTGTTTCTGGCTCTGGTGCTTCCCAGTCCGAGGAGTTAGTTGTTAGAATTTTGTGTCCCTCTGACAAGATTGGGCGTGTCATTGGGAAGGGTGGTAGTACAATTAAAAGTATGAGGCAGGCAAGTGGTGCTCACATCGAGGTTGATGACTCAAAGGCAAATTATGACGAGTGTTTAATCATTATAACTACAACAGAGGTGCACTATCTTGCCTTGTTACATTCTTTTTCCTATAGCATAAAATTGCTTTCATTAATTGTTGGAGTTGTTACATTTGATGGAGTTCGTAGCGTATATTATTAAATTTTTTTATTAAAAGTTTGTTTGATTAGCTTAGATATTTTGATTTAAATATATAATCAAAATTCTAGAGAGTCCTTTGGGCTGAACAACTATTTCTGAGTGAAAAGGAAGCCATGTATGTTGATGTTCAGCTGGGAAAACATTAAGGGCTGAGTTCAAGTGAATTGAACTTTCAAAGGTTTTACATTATAGGATGAAATATTTTCTTGTATCAAAGACAACATTCAAGAAACTAGTTTGTTTTGAAAGAAATGCCTCAATAAAGATCACTTACCTTTCTTTTAGAAAATACTTCTTTTATCTCCCCGTTTTAACCCAAATTTCAGATATGTAAAGGTAGAAAGAAGAACATCAAAAACTTATACTGATTCACTGACACTCCAGTTGTCTAATCACCTTGATTAGACCAATCCGCTAATCATTCAAAGTTTTACAAGACTACGAGAAAACTAGAATGAAAACACAAACATACCAAGATCTTGAACTTTACAAGATCTTTTGCAACCTCTTGTGAAATCTTATCACAAGATCCACCTTGGTCAACAACTTACACACCAAAAGAAAGTAGTAGAAAGGGACAAGATCAATTGGACAAACTCTTGGAAGAGAAATAAAATAAAAAGACTCAAGGGCGATCTTCAAGATTATTCTGTTAACCAATCATCTTCAAGATTTTGATCTTATAAAGGAACCAAGACAGTCTTTTTCATGGCTATAGAGCTCTTCTTAGATGTTTGAAAATATTTTGAAACTTTTTCAAGTTGAATCATTGAAATGTTCCTCATACCATAGAAGAGCATTTTAATGGATTAATTTGAGTTTTTAATCTATTAGATTCACTAAAGGAAGTGTCTTTTAAGTGATTTTAGTATATTAAATGCAAGATCATTTAAAAGATAAAGTAGCTTTAAGTAAAATTAATAGATTAAAACATGATTTTAATCCTTCAAAAAGTTATTGTTTTTCTAGGAACTTGAATAACATTTTAAATTTGAATGATTAAAGGCAATAGAAGCATTTCACAAGACTAAACACAAAATTACAACTCTAAACACAAGATTAACAACCAAGTCAAATTAAAATCATTTGGCACACGCTGGTTGGAAGCATCAAAGCTTCTAAAGGAGTTTTTTCAAGTAATGAGTCAAAATTATATGCAAGAATAAAAAGGGGAAAAGCCATTTAAACTTGATTATTAAAGTGAAGAGATGAATGATTCTCACTTTTCAAGTGTGTATCTGCTTTGCATTCTCAATTTTTTTTTGTTTTTCTACAAAACTGTTTTATTGTCAGTATTGTTTTAGATAAATTCATTTTATTGTATCATTTATAAATCAAGTTAATCTCAAGTCTGCCTTGGCCATGTTGCTGTTTACTAGTTTACTGAGAACTGTGAAGCTTATTTTCGGGTACATAACCTCCCTGTTATTTCATTGATTAATAATTTTCATGGAAACAACTTAGTTCTGTTAAAGGAAATCTTTTGTAGTTTGTGCTAATGTGCCATTCCTTATGACATTGAAGATTGATACTAATTTAGTAAGTCAACTCACATGTGTGTGGTGGATTAAAAGAGTGGAAAAGGAAAGAGATGAAGAGAAAGAGATTGGAAATGAGTGGGAAGTAAAATAGTTTGATTTGTTATTTATTATTTATAGTTTTTAAAATATATTTTAATTATTTATTATTTTATTAATAAAAAAATACTCCTAATCAATTATATATCTACCATAATCTATTATGGGATTCATTGTCACAGTTCCTATTTTACTGTTTCTCTAGACTATTTCAATTTTTATAATAAAATATTTATGGTTTGAGGGCACTTCACTTGTGTTTCTTCACCATCTGTAAAGAAAGTTTAATTATTTTATTTCCTTGCAAATCAATGCTTTTTGGTTGATCCAAACTACACCCCCGTCCCTCCCTTTTTTTAGATCCAAATGAAGGCTTATGCTTGCTAACAACATTTCTTGAAAGGAACCAAAAGGAAAAGGAACTTTTTAAAAAATATTGGTGGAGCAAGAATTTACATGTTATTGTGTTAAAGCCAAAAATATGTAATTTTATCATGTCAGTATGTGTGAATAGTTTTTGAGCATTCTGCGAGGTGGCAATCAAGTATGCAGTTCAAAAGTTTCCACCTAAGCTTATATGGTTAATATACAGCCAGTTCAGGTGTACAAGAATATTTGTTTGCATGCAATATCTTCAAATTGTTGAATTTCATTATCAGGATAGTTGTGGATTGTGTGTGTTCCCATATTTTCTATTTTTGCATGTCATTATCCTTTTTCAAATCATATTGCCTATATATTTATATATTCTTATTATAAAATTGAAAATGTTCAAGTGGGATATGTATTTATTTTGTAGTCGCCAAGTGATCTAAAGTCCATGGCAGTTGAAGCTGTTCTTCTGATGCAAGGGAAGATAAATGATGAAGATGATACCACTGTTTCAATGCGGCTTCTAGTTCCATCCAAGGTCATAGGTTGTATTATTGGTAAAAGTGGCTCAATCATAAATGAAATTCGTAAAAGAACTAGGGCTGATGTTCGAATCTCTAAAGGTGATAAACCAAAATGTGCAGACTTGAACGATGAACTTGTTGAGGTTTGACTTTTTCACTTCTTGTTTTAAGAGTATATTTATTCAGCAATTCTATTTTGTATAAAAGCTTTTATGGGTGTATTTGTACATGTGTTCAATCTTCATTTGGACTCCTGTCTTTCAAATATCGTCAGTCACATCACTTTTCCAGAGAAGTGTGGAATGAATGTTCAACATTGAAACAAACACACTATATTATATAAGATGTAATGATTCTTTAACTAAAAAAAAAACATTGAAAAGATAAAAAGCAAGACTGAAATGTAAATGCGACAGACAAATGCAACGTTTGTTATTTTTTTTTTTAAATAAAAACTCATAATAATAGTGATAGCACTTACATTTTATTTTATTTATTTCCTTCAACGTTTTTTTGGATATTTAGGTGGGTGGCTCAGTTGATTGTGTAAGAGATGCGCTTATCCAGATTATCCTAAGACTCAGAGATGACGTACTGAGAGAAAGGGATACTGGCCATAATCCTTCTATTGGTATAGGTGCTGAATCCTTGTACTCAGGCACTACTGGTTTTTCATTGCCATCTGTGCTTCCTTCAGTTCCACCTGTTGCTACTCCTTTGGTTTATGATCAGAGGGCTGACAGTGGAGCTGGCCTGGGCATGCTTTCTTCAAGCAGCCTTTATGGATATGGATCTTTGTCGGTATGTCACATATTTTCGTCCCATATTTTCATAATACATTGTGATAATTTTTGCCGGTATATTGTGATCGAGTTTCTCTTTTCTAATAAAAATGCTCTATTATAAAGCTCTGTCCTTTTTTTTTTCATTACCTATCTATTCCAGTTTTAGTTTCATATTGTGTCACTAATCCCTTTTCTTTTTGTTTTATTATATGCTATAGATGGGAGAAAATGGCTACAGTTCTATATCCTCGTATGCCAACAAGCTATATGGAGGGTTAGTAT